CTGCTGCTGCTGCTGCTGCTGCTGCTGCTGCTGCTGCTGCTGCTGCTGCTGCTGCTGCTGCTGCATTAGGTCCCATGTGCCTAGGCGTTTTTCAAGCAGTGATCTCTGGCATCTTCATAGATAAATGCAAGCTAGAGCTTCGCACAGCATACTAATCTCATCAGTGCGTGCAACAAAATAAGCCCAGATGAAAGTGCAGAAAGAGCCTACACTTTTGCCCAAGAGATACTTTTCAAAGTTTCCGAATGTTTTTGGAGTGCTACGCTGGCCTGATAAAAAAAAAAAAAAAACTCCCCAAACTTGCAAATCTGGCCAAAATTCTTTGGGAGATACTAAATGTTCCAGAAATTTTAAAGATGCAAACAATGAAAATCTCTGGCTAGAGGAATGGAAGAAGATGGGGGCCTGTAGTCTTCTATGTGTTAACACATGCAGTTTTAACTTCCGCCGCTATGGAAAATGTTAAAATTGCATAACGTTTTTGAACGCAATATTAAAGTGCGAAATAAGGGATTGATATGAACGCACATTTGTAACGAGGGATATACTGGAGAGTAGTCTGTGTTTCATCCCTTAGCTGTAAAAACTGACATTATGTCACAGCATATGGGTAAGGGTAGGAATCATCAGTACATTCTCTTGCTTACCACGAACATGATGAGCATGCCTCTGACCACTCAAGGCTTAAAAAACATTGGATAACATTTCCTGGACTAATAAAAAGTCAACAAATTGACTTCCAAAAGTCCAAGCTTCTACGAATCTCCTGCTTCGACTGTAGCGACCGAACCCTATATCCCCAGAGAATGCTTCATTTTTCTGCAAATTTTGAAAACAGCATAGATTGAAAAATTAGGATTTCCACATTAGACACACAGGGATACCAGTACCATTAGGCAGCCACTGTAGATATGCCCCCCTCGAGGGCTTCACAGCACCCCTTTCGCCCCTCCCCGGTCTTCGCTATATTCTACGTTCCACGCGCCACTACCTCCTCTTCTCCCTCTCCCCAGTCAACCCTAAACTACATCGATAACCGGGAACGGGGAAAAAGCCTTAGGGGAAAAGGGGAGAGGAGTAAGACGACTGAGGGTACCAAACAGACTTTTCCACAGTAAAACAACTACTACCTGAGCTCTTGGATCCGATAATACTACTGGGATGCTTCCACACGTCGGGCGCAGCTATGCCAGACTTTTTGATCCTGGGCTGCATGTATCAGAAAATGTATATCCAAAAATTCCCACGCTTCCGAATTCTCGGATTTTTCGGGATATTATTGCCCTAAAAAAATGAACAAGCAGCATACCAGCATGTTCGGGGCCATCCTCTAGGATATATTCGTTGTTGAGGAATTTCGCAGTGACTTCGGAGACATGTACACGACCCGCTAGTCCTGTTGACTCCATTTCATTTGCTAGCGTTACATCATTTGAAAAAACATCAAATTTGAACCTTTTCATGCCAACCATACCACACATTACCTGAAACACAAAAACACATCAAATTCATACAGTTAAAATTTACCATTTTTTATCGCAAAATTAAGAAAACAAGCAATGCAAATTCAAAAAATAGGCAAAAAAACCACCGTGCTGCTGCTGTTGCTGAATTAATTTGACATTCCTAGAATTTACATTTCTAAAAAATTAGAATTTTCAAAAAATTTAACAAAAAATTTTTTAGAATCAAAACGTATTTATAAAACATTAAAATTTCTAAAAAAAAAACATACTTTTCCGGTATGTATGCCAACACGCATGTTGACCTGTTGGCCACGATCCTCGTCGAATTGCCGAATAGCAATGATCATTGCAAGTCCCATTTCAACACAACAACGAGCATGATCGGCACGTGGTTCTGGGCAACCTGCTACACAGTAATAGCAATCACCTGCAATCGATGCCTTTTTGAGGAATTGGCACTTTTTTTTTGCATTTTCTGAGAGTTATTTTGTTTAAAAAAACTGATAAAGCGATACAAAATTGCATCATTAATTAGCTAAACTATGTAAATATGCAGTGAATAAAACATATAACAAAACTTATTTCAATATCCGCTTCTTTTTTGCGCAGTATATTCCCAAACCGCTTCTTAACCTACTATTCCACTAAAGAATTTCTGAAGCTTTCCAATGTTTTCTCGCGAATCGTTTCTTTTTTATGCTGAATTTATTATCACAGCTAGACATTTACTACAGGATCTAAAAAGACTCCCCTTTTTTTGAGTGTAAGTACCGAGTCCCTGTATAAATCCTCCATTTCACCTTTTGGGGTCATTTTTGATCATTTCGAGTAATTTTTCAAACATTTTGGATTTTCTGCGTCCTTCTTAACTGCGATATCAACGATATCCCACGTTCGTCTCAGTCGCACTATAACTTTCTCCATTCGAGCAGACTAATTTGGCTTTTCCATTA